TATATATATATATACTCTTTGGAGACACAATTTTTGTAAGTAGAGATATGACTAATTTCCAAGTAGATGTTTATTTCTTTCTTTTCTTTTTCTTTTTTACAAAGACTACAACTATATCTTATATGGTGGTCTCAGCAAAGCAGTAATGGACAAATTGAGTAGAAAGAAATGTGATTTCTAAATTTCCTTTTTGAATAGCTGATAGAAGCATGATGTTAAAAAAGGAACACTTATGAATGGAACTTTTGTTAAGAATTTATCACAAAATCTATGGACTCTGAATTTGAGAGATACAAAAATATTACAGGCACAGATAAAATATAGCAACAAATATTTTTTATTAAGACTATGTTTTGTAGCACATGTGTGTATTTGTTTAACTTGTGGATAAAGACTTGTAGACAGGTGCAACAAATAAATCCTTGGCCCGGTTTAGCGGTGCACACCTGTAATCCCAGCAGCTTGAGAAGCTGAGACAGGAGGACTCCCAAGTTCAAAGCCAGCCTCAGCAACTTATCGAGGCCCTAAGCAACTTAGCAAGACTCTGTCTCAAAATAAAAAAATAAAGAGGACTGGAGATGTGGTTCAGTGGTGAAGCACCCCTGGGTTCCAATCCCTGGTAACAACAACAACAACAACAACAAAAAAACTCATCTTTTACAACCCAGAACTCATTGTTCAGGGTGAGTTTTGGTACATATAAGAAGAAATATTGTAAAACCCAAGACAGCTTAAAGTGACGAGGGTATTGCTAATCATTAAGGTTGGTTCCAAGACTAAGAGTTGACAATAAAAAAGCATAGGTCACGAGATAAATCTCAGGTATATCATTACTCCAATTTTCATGTTGTGACATATAAAGATAGCTTTAGAAATTATATTTTATGTCAAACCAACATTTTAATACAATATCGAACTCTGCATATTTGAAACTGTAAACCTGACTTCTTATCACCATTTTAAGAGCAGGTACTCTTAGAAGAAACAAGTTGAAATTGTACTTTTAGCTCTCTCTATAACTTTCCCCAGGAAGTGACCGCCTTTGAAATTATGTGCTCATGTACTTGAAAGTGAAGGCACTGTTTAGAAAGCCAGAGTTGGGAAGAATGACAAAGTCAGGAAATGGAAAAGTTGCTTTTGCACCTTCTTCTTTGTAAAGTAAGATTGTTCTCAAGCATCTATGGACACTTAGTAGTCAATATTAAGAATAGTCTTTTTCCTGTGATACTGGGGATTGCACCCAGGGGTGTTCTACCACTGAGCCATGTCCCCAGTCCTTTTTTAAAATTTTAAATTTAATTTAATTAATTTATTTTTTGGTGATTAAACCCAGGGGTACTCTACCACTGAGCCACTTCTCCAGCCCTTTGTATTTTTATTTATTTATTTTTTTAACTTTGAGACACAGTCTTACTAATGCCCAAGCGGCCTTAAACTTAAGATCCTCCTGTCTCAGCCTCCTGAGTCACTGGGATTACAAGTGTGCACCACCTGGCTAATAACTAGTAATTTAATAGTTAAGAAAAGATCATGATGGAGCTGAAGGTAGATAACTAGGTAGTGTCACCAACTAATAAACTCAATTTGGGGGATGAAAAAAGAGGTCACAAACTAGAAAGCTTTCTTTGCTTTTAAATCTCATGTCTCTTACCCCTTGCTCATGGTCTCTATCTCCTCCTTCAAAAGTTAAATAAAACTTACCAAGTAGAATAGAAGACTTGGCATTTTAGCTGATGAGACTCCCGCTAGTTGGGGTACAATGCAGTGTGGTGCAGAGAGGTGACTGGCACCTGTGAGAGCAGAACACAATGTCCTACTGATAGGGGGATGGCAACAGTAACGTATTTCCTTCCATTGTTATTTGCCAGTCAACCCTGGCTATCTACCTAAGTTTAAGAAGAAAAGAGGTGGGCCTGGTGTAGTGGTGCACACCTGTAATCCCAGTGGCTCGAAAGGCTGAGGCAGGAGGATCTCAAGTTCAAAGCCAGCCTCAGCAAAAGTGAGGCGCTAAGCAACTCAGTGAGATCCTGTCTCTAAATAAAATACAAAATAGGGCTGGGGATGGGGCTCAATGGTCGAGTGCCCCTGAGTTCAATCCCCAGTAACCCCCCCCCCCCATAAAAAAGAAGAAGAAGAAAAGAAGTGGAAAAAGGAAGGGAGGACAGATGGATAATTTGGCATAATGTCCAAGTAGTAAAACAATCATGGGGAGCAATGTAGGGTGCAAAGGTTAATTACAGAAAATGGTAACGACACTCTTGTGGGCTTTAAGCTGGTTTCCCCTAGCTTTGTAACCATCTTTGTCAAATGCTGGACTTGGGGAAGTCCTGACCTTCGTCTGACTCTGATCTTTTGTGGAATCTACCTATTGAGACAGGAGAAATTCACGTGACTTTTTCTGTTTGTGCAGCTGGTGTGGCTGGGAATGAACGTCTTCCTCTTTGTCTGGTACTACAGGGTTTATGACAATGGAGAAAAGTACTATTACACTCGAAAACTTCTTGGGGTGAGTATAATATCTGTCTTGTGCAATATTGATCAGTTCACATTTCTAGTCAGACATTATTATTTTTATTTCCTTTAATGTTTAAAAAATATATATTCTGACCAATCCAAACATCACCATCAGCCTCACTCCCTCCATTGGAACTTTTTGGGCAAGAGTCTCTTAATGCTTCTGTCAGTGTGACAAATGAGGATGTGGTAGAGGGTCCCAGCAGCAGCCTTTCCCTCCCAAGAACCATGGTACCATGGGAGGCCAGGTTGAAGCCATCCATCTAGGGATGATGCATGTAAGACAAGTGAGATTTTCCATATTTTCCAAGTCATCTGGTTCCTACCACTTTTGTGTATAGAGAATCCTGCTCCTGGTGACATGTGATGAGGTGGCCTTCAGAAAAATCAACCTCTGTCTACACCAGGAAATTTTGAGGAACTTGCTTTAGTGCCCCATCTCTTCAGTAGGCCAGCGAGTGAGGCCCTTGAGTTTCCTTGGGTCCTTTAGAAAGCTCAGTTTCCTTGAACTGTCCGGCCTCTTTATCAAGAATGAAAGTAATTATTATTGTGCCTGCTCCCAGAACACAACATTTGTTATTTAATGCTGAAACTATCAATGAATTAATTAGTATTCAGTATATTATAAATCACATGTATAAATACTTATAAAACACAATTTGCTACATTATTATAATTGCTTTAAACTTATTCACATTGATGCTTTCTTCCTCCAAAATATGAAACAACTTCTTTTTTTTTTTTTTTTTTTGTGGGGGAAAGTATTGAGGATTGAACCTAGGGGCACTCTACCATTGAACAACATCTCCAGTCAATTACTTATTTATTTATTGGTACTCAGTTTTGAACCCAGTGATGCTTAAACACTGAGCCACTTTTTTGTTTTTTTATTTTGAGATAGGGTCTGACTGAGTTGCTTAGGGCCTAAGTTGCTGAGGCTGGCCTTGAACTTGTGATCCTCCTACCTCAGCCTCCCAGATCTGCTGGGATTACAGGTGTGTGCCACCGTGCCTGGCTATTTGTTTATTTTTGAGACAGAGTCTTACTAAATTGCCCAGGCTGGCCTAGAACTTGTGATCCTTCTGCTCAACCTCCCAAGTAGTTGGAATTACTAACCTGTGCCACTGTGCCTGGTTGTAACTTCTTTAAACATTATAAAGCTAATGATTATGCTGAAACATCATACCATAGCAACTTCAGTTATTGTTGAAATCTAAGTGCTATGAAAGTCCTGTTTAAAAATTTTAAAAGGTTCAGTTTTATACCTGGTGTGGTGATGCACACCTGTAATCCCAGCAACTTGGGAGGCTGAAACAGGAGGATGGCAAGTTCAAGGCCAGCCTCAACAATTTATCAAGGCCCTAAGCAAGTTAGCAAGAGGTTGTCTCAAAATAAAAATAAAAAGGGCTGGGGATGTGGCTTAATGACCAAGAGCCTCTGGGTTCAATCCCTGGTACCAAAAAAAAAAAAAAAAAAAAAAAGCATTGTAAAATGTAAAAGGTGCAATCTGGGAGGTGAATAAACAAGTATTCAGAGTAAATTTTGACCACTTCTCTTTATTCTTTTTCATAATAAAACGTTGGGTTGGGTAAAGGGCCAGTTTGAGATTAAAACAAAGGGTCCTTGCAGGCCCTAAAAGAAAATCCTTTGGTCTGAAGGACCTTCCTTTCCAGATCTCTTGGAGCTCGGTGTGGCCTCATGCAGGGAATCCTGGGGAAGTGGGGGTGGGGCGTCCTGTGCTCCTAGGAGTCACTCTGCTCTCTTCTGCCTCTTCCAGTCGGCTTTGGCCTTGGCCAGGGCCCCTGCAGCCTGCCTGAATTTCAACTGCATGCTGATCCTGCTGCCTGTCTGCAGAAATCTGCTCTCCTTCCTCAGGGGTTCCAGTGCGGTAAGAGCAAACACTCTACTGAGCTCCTGGCATTTTCAAAGCCATCATGCAAAATGCCCTTTCTTAGGAACAGCAAACCACTGGTCTGTGAGGCTTCCAGGTTCTATAGAATATTCATGAGCCAATCCATGTCCATTTTTTGTTTTTTGATTTGTTTTGTTTTCCTATGCTATTGTGGATGGAACTCCCTAAGGAAACCATTTCACCCTGAAAAGAGATTTTAAAAAAGCAACCAACTAAACTGTATCTCAACAACAGCAATGAAGTAAGCACATGTGTGTATGTGCACACACACACACACATACACACATACACACATAATATATATAAATACATATAATATGTATGTGTATATAAATAGGGCTTTATGATGCTGTGATATTTGGGAAATAATCTTTCAGTGACATTCCAAAAAATTTAAGTCAGAGAAAATATATTTTTGTATAACATCCTAAGCAGATGGAGTCCATGGGCAAAGATTCACATTACAATGAAATGTGACTAAGAATCATTGAATCCATGGAATGCTAGAATTAGGGAGTACAGAGCTTTCTAAATGTCCAGGACTCCTTTCACTTTCATGCCAACACTTTAGTGGCCTCTAAATGTACTCCATTAAAAGGCAAAAAAAAATAAATAAATAAAACATAAAATAAAAAAATTCAGTGGGAAGAATATTTGTTACTGACAAAAATTTCTTACTGGGTAAGAATCAATGAATTTATCATCTGTACATATACTCCAAAAGTATGTTACAAAGCACAATTTGATTGGTTATAAATAACAAATTATGAGGAGTCCAGTGCAGTGGTGCATGCCTGTAATCTTGGTGACTCAGGAGGCTGAGGCAGGAGGATCACAAATTCAAGGTCAGCCCCAGCAGTGTAGGCCCTCAGCAATTTAGGGAGACCCTGTTTCAAAATAAAAAGTTAAAAGGGCTGGGATGTGTGTCAGTGGTAGAGCACCCTGTGTTCAATCCCAAGTACCAAACCAAATCAAACAAAAGAATCTACAGGGACCAGGCACCATGGTGCATGCCTATAATCCCAGCAATTCTGGAGACTGAGTCAGGAGGATCACGAGTTCAGAGAGTCTCAGCTACTTAGTGAAGCCTGTCTCAAAATAAAAAAGAAAGGGCTGGGGATGTGGCTCAGTGGTTAAGCAGCCCTGCGTTCAATCCTTGGTACCTTCAACCCCCAAAAAAAGACCTATAGGGGATCAATGGACAGAGGAAAGTAAGGTGGCCAAGGAATGAAAAAAGGTCACATTAGAAATGGGCATATGAGGGTTAATAAACACTTCAGAGGTGTAAATGAAAGACAAAGACATTCTACATGGAGAAAATGGTAAGAGCAAAAGAGCAGAAAATGGTGAGGAAATCTTATTCTTGTAAATCCTGTCCAGCAAGACGTATGGTTTTGCTTTGGATTCTTTTGCTATTCCTGACCATAACAAGGAAGGTAGTTGGGAAAATTAGGAATCGGAGCCTAGGTAGGACTAGTAGTGACTAGCAGCCTTGGTTTTTCCTTTTTACAAAATGTATGTGTTTATATCAACAAGCCTTCAAAAAATACTTATTAAAATGAAATTTTAAAAAATAAAAAAAAATACTTATTGAGATCATTAATGGAGGAGAGCAGCAAGCAAAGTACTTTTATGGGAATGGAGGATCACACAGGGCAGGTGTGTGAAGTGGGGCTGGAGAGGAAAACTGGGATTTTGCTGAACCAGAATTTTAAATGTCCAGCTGAGGATTGATTACTTCATTTAGCAATCACAGAATATTTGGAGGGAGAAAGGCAAACTAAATTGTCAATAACAAGTTTAATTTGCCTTAAATTTTGCCTGGTTTTCCCTAGTTATATTAAATTCACATTGATCCAAAGAAAAAAAATTCTTTAAGAACCTATAACACCTAATTTATTAAGACAGATTAAGTAGTTAAAAATTATTTTACCTCTTTACAAAATGCCATATCATCTGAGGTACTGAGTATAGAAAGAGGAATAAAGTTCAATGGGAAATTTTATTAAAATGCCATACCATCTTAAACCTACTGCCCAAATTGAACTCTTCCAAGTCTAAATTAAAATAAGAGTTGGGCTAGGCCCAGTAACACAAGCCTGTAGTCCCAGAAGCTTGGGAGTCTGAGGCAGGAGGATCATGAGTTCAAAGCCAGCCTCAGCAACTTAGCAAGGCCATAAGCAACCTAGTGAGACCCTGTCTCGAAATAGAAAATAAAAAGGGCTGAGGATGAGGCTCAGTGGTTAGGTACCCCTGGGTTCAATCTATGGCACCAAAAATAAAATAAAATAAAATAAGAGTTGGGGAATGGAAATGAAGCTCAGTGGTACAGCACATGCTTAGCATGTGAGAGGCCCTGGGTTCCATCCCCAGCATTGCAAATAAATAAATAGATCAATAAGTGGCAAAAAAATAACTCTAATATTTTCATCTTTGCTTCAGTGGAACAAGAACAATAAAGACAAAAAGAAAGAATGTTGGCAGACATTTATTTATTTATTTGTTTGTTTGTTTATTTATTTATTTATTTTGTGGTGCTGGGGATTGAACCCAGGCAGCGTCTTGTGCATGTGAGGTAATCACTCTACGAACTGAGCTATGTCCCCAGACCTTTGGCAAACATTTCAAGATGCTCCAGAAAGAATCATGACTTTTTCCTCTGGAGAATACTGTGAAGAAGTTCCTTTATTTAAGTCACAAACTCTATGTGGCACCATGTTGTCTTGCAAACTGACTTCCAAACAAAATCCCCAATTAACAATAACATTAGTCATTGATTACAAGGATTTTCAAACCAGCTCTTGAAACCATAGTCTTTAAATTCCACTGGCTTGAAAGTCGACTGGTGAGCCACCTACCAACACCTACAGTGTTCCATATAGAGTAGGTACCCTATGAACATTCGCCGAATGAAGTCCATGGCCTGTAGATTTTTGTTTCTACAGAGACAAAATTCTTTTTCATTTTCCCTACCCCCATTTGAATACTTTCTATTTAGAGGAAGTAAAATCTGAGAAACAGGAAGTGTTTTCACCAGGATGACCAAGTTAAGAAATCTTGATTACCCCACAACCCCAAATTGCACTGCCGTTGAGCATGTCGCATGTCCCATGACAGCACATGTTGTAATGGCAACTTTTAGGCTTCTTGTAGCTTGGGAGTGAAGATCTTAGTGAAGATTTCCAAAGACAGGGGTGAAATGAGCTGCTCTTCAAATTGCAGGGAGGGTCATCTCTGTAACCAGATAGATACTTTATCTAAGTATATAAAAGAATATATATATTTTTAAGTAGCAACAAGCAGCATTTGGTTGAGCATGTCCTTCCTTCCACAATTTCCTATCTGCAATGCAAACTTTGCACCTGAAACTTTACAGATTGGGATTAAAATGAGTGAGTACTACCAGATGCATTGGCACATACCTATAATCCCAGGACTCAGGAGGCTGAGGCAGGAGGATTGCAAGTTCAAGGCCAGCCTCAGCAACTTAGCAAGACCCTAAGCAATTTAGTGAGACCTTGTCTCAAAATTTAAATATAAAGGTCTGAGGATGTGGCTCAGTGGTAAAGCGTCCTTGGGTTCAATAGCTATTGTGATTTCTAACATTAGTTACAACATACTTATTTCAATTTCTTCTTCTTCTCTCTCTCTCTCTTTTTTTTTTTTTTTTTGTACTGGGGATTGCTGCTTCATAGAACTCACCTCAGTAATTCTGCACATCAAATGAGTGAGATGGGAACAAAATTAAATGGGAGTTTTGGGATTCAAACCCAGATCACTGTGCCCCACAGCCTATTCACTTTTTTTTTTTTTTTTTTTTTTTTTTTGGGGGTGTGGATTGTAGGGTGCCTGGACATATTTTGTATTTTATTTAGAGATAGGATCTCACTGAGTTGCTTAGCGCCTCACTGTTGCTGAGGCTGGCTTGGAACTCACGATCCTCCTGCCTCAGCCTCCTGAGCCACTGGGATTATAGGCATGTGACACCGCACCTGGCTATTCACTTTTTTTTTGCCCCCTAAATTTCTTGAAACTGTCCTGTTGCTGTATTTCGGTTTTAGAAATGCAAAATATATATGAGTGAACATTCAGAATAACCTAGACTAGAAATGTCAAGGATGTTGTAAATTTAAAATTGTTTGCTTGTTTGACACTGGGGATTAAACCCAGGGGCACTTTACCACTGAGCTATATTTCCAGCCCTTCTTCTGATTTTGTGGCAGAACCTTGTTAGGTGATTGAGGCTAGCCTCGAACTTGCCATCCTCTTGCCTCAGTCTCCTGAGTTGTTGTTCTACTGAAGCAGGTCTGGTTGACAGTTCTAATCTTAAAATCAGAAAGAAACAGGAAGGTGAGAGGGTTACCTTATATAATGTGGTGGTGGGGGTGTGTGTGTCAGAAGATCTCAGTGTGGCTGTATCTCTAGCCTTGTGGCCTCCACCAGCATGTCCCTTATGCTTTCTGTCTCACAAATGTCTTAGTTGAAAAACAGGTCAAATAATGCAAATGTAAGAATGAACATGGCATTCTAGCTGGGGACATAGCTCCGTGTTAGAGCACGTGTGTGAGTTCAATTCCCTGCACTGAAAAAATAAAGAAATAATGAACATATTTTAGTAAAAGTATACTAATTGACTAAGCCTGTCAATCAATGAATGGTCAGCCAGTAAATATTTGTTAAGTGCCATCTACATGCTAAGCACCAGGGGCACATGGTAATAAAGAGTAAGGATGGTGCTGGGTGCACTGGCACATGCCTGTCATCTCAGCAGCTCAGGAGGCTAAGACAGGAGGATGATGAGTTCAAAGCCAGCCTCATGCATTTAGCGAGGCCCTAGGCAACTTAGCAAGACCCTGTCTCAAAATAAAATATAAAAAAGGGCTGGGGATGTGGCTCAGTGGTTAAGTGCCCTTGGGTTTAATTCCTAGTACCAAAAAAAAAAAAAAAAAAAAAGTAAGGACAATGGGCCACAAGGT